GTGGTCTTTTATTTTTTTGATGACGTCATACCTGGTCACGTGACCTTTTTATTTTTTTGATGACGTCATACCTGGTCACGTGACCTTTTATTCTTTTGATGACGTCATAGCTGGTCACGTGATCTTTTATTTTTTTGATGACGTCATACCTGGTCACGTGTTCGTTTATTTTTTTTTGATGACGTCATACCTGGTCACGTGATCGTTTATTTTTTTGATGACGTCATACCTGGTCACGTGATCGTTTATTTTTTTTGATGACGTCATACCTGGTCACGTGATCGTTTATTTTTTTTGATGACGTCATACCTGGTCACGTGACACCATTTTAAATGACGTCACTTCCGGTCGTGACTAAAAATATATGGGAAGGAATATATAAATGATAACGCACTTTTGTTTTTTTTATAAAAATCATTTTATTAGATACTCTTACAATCAATAATTTATACATTCAACATAAGGTTCCCAATTTATGATTGGTCCATATGCAGACTGTGTAACACGTGTTCATCGCTATTCTTCATCCTCGCCAATTTTCGATCTGAATTCCTCAAATTGCAGAGGATGATGCAGTTGAAATATGCAGCTAACGATGGATTCCGTGTGGAGTCGCGGTGAATTAATGTACTAATTCCGATTGACCTCATACGTCAATTCTCCTTTTTTAGATTTCATTTGTCTTGCGAGGCACTCAATTCTGGTAGAAAATTGAAGCTATCCTATGTATTTTTAAGTTCCACAAATGAATTCCACTCCACGATAATATCTGGAAGAATATTCAACCAAAAATACTTATCAATGTAATACTCCATAAATTCATGAGTGAATTGATAATATTGATTTGTCGAACATCATGCTGAGTCTATTACACTCCGGGATAAACGAAGAGGTCACCAAAAATCTTTCAACACTCCTCTGTACACACCCACAACCGGCAGAGTATAAATCCCCACGAAGATTCTATATGATCCCCATATGACTCATTCATAACCCATATATGATTTATGAAGGTCCAGAGTCGTATATACCCGGTAAATGGATCAAATATTTCTCCACAGAAGCAAGTTATCCGGGCATTAATCAAAAATTTTCTCCGGCTTTCATTGTCAACTCCTTTTCACGACGAGAGATCACAGCAAAAGGCGTTAAAAAATTATCTTGAATAATGCCCTTAAATAAATCCATTGAAGTCGACCTGAATTATTCTCTCAACCGAGTGCTCACCAATTTTCCTTCCCACGATGATCTTTCCCTCGTTTTTCCTCGCCCTCACTCTTGATGTAATACTCCAAAAGCCCAGGCAGTTTTCTCACCGTTCGAAATTTTATCGCTCAAGTACTCGTACCATCTTCCTCCAAGATTTTAACCCGCCCGAAAAGACGAATGAAAACGTCTATACGAGGATTTTTCTCCTTGGTGCTCCACTTCCTCACGAATATCGTAATGGCGCGTCGTTTACGAGTTTATCGGTTAGAGACTGAAATCAATGTGCCGGAACGCGTCGACTAAAGTCTGACAAATCACTCCCGTCAGATTCAATGCGATGAGATACAGCACCAGTCTTTCCATTTAACCGCACACTACTGGTACAAATTATTGACATTCGATACTTGTTACCAGTTCAATTCCATCTCTCCATCTCCTCACCCGTTTATTTCGACTGAATCGCTAATTATTCTCCAGAATTCAATTCTATCTTTGTCCTCTCGTTATCATCACTCTTAATCGACACATTTTTATTTCAGTCCTCATCTCCACCCATTTCCCATTATTTTCACACCAAGCTGGATCAATACTCCTGCCGCAGTACTCCCGATGTTATTTCGTCGTTTAAATCCGTGACACAGAACTTCAAATGCAAATATCAAACAAGGGACAATATTTAAAGGGGAAAATATAATATGTTTTCATAAAAATCTTGTTTTTTCCCCTCGACAGATTTTCCAGATTAAAATTTCACCAGTGAATATTAAAAATAAAAATGAGTACCGCAGCTAGTGCTGACTCAGTTGTTCCAGATTTTCAGATTTTCAGATTTTCAGATTTTCAGATTTTCAGATTTCCAGATTTCCAGATTTCCAGATTTCCAGATTTCCAGATTTCCAGATTTCCAGATTTCCAGATCTCCAAATTTCCAGATCTCCAAATTTCCAGATCTCTAGATGTCTAAATCTTCCGTTTTTATTGCATTCACGTTCCATTTTTTTTCTCTCAAAGATGATCAACATCATTTGAAGATCATGTCACAGCCAATTATCAGCTAAAAGTCCCTTTTAGCTGGATTATTAATGGTCACCACTCGGATAGCCAACATTTCACGAATATGGTTTTGTTGTTCCATCGATTTGTGGGAATGACAAGCCGAATCCAATGGTTTGAATCATTGTGCCAGGCTATTTCGCTGATTCGACGTAATCGCAGGATATTTCAATTGGTTTTATCCCACTATTTGACATTTTCCCTCGGTGACAATGCTGAATGCTCGATGATTGCGACAATTTATTTTTACAAAATTTCAGCGCAGAAGAAAAAACAATCGAGTTCAATTGAATGAAACAAAAGGGGGAATTCAGTCGGGGACAATAGTGTGCAATTGCTCTCGTCTGTTCTGTTTCATTGACTTTTACTCTCTCTTTTTTTCCTCACAATGTTCTATTTTTTCTCCGCAGTCGAATTTTTCGAGGCAAAAATTGACAAGAGAATTGAAAATGATATCCTTCGTTAATCCGATTGGTGGTACGGCAATTGAACACTCTAGGGTTATAACTAGATGGTAATCAATAAGCCATTGGTGTCTCCAATTGAGTAGCTCGGTTGTTCCCAATAAATCATATCACAACAGAAGCACATCCCTGACGACTACAATCGATTGAATTCAAACCAATCGCAGAGATGTGCTACTTGTATTTCAAAGAGGGAGGATACAGGGATAATATACGTTTTACTCGTGTTTCATTGGAACATTTGTTGGTGACGGGTTGAGTATTTATGACGTCTCGGTTTGTTGTTTATCTCCCGTCTTTGAATGCACAATGCAAAACGCAAATATTAATATTGAAATTTCAAAAAGACAGATTAAAGTCATGCGCATTCACAGGATGCAGGGGAATGATTGTTAGTACTGAGTATTGTGCATGCAGTGGGGTAAAAATGCATGATGAAAAAAATCACTGAACCTTCATTCAAAGTTTTGTTCACCTTTGGGTTACGAGGTGTTATACCAAGTGTATTCGCGTGTGTCTTCAGGGTCGGTACCCTTCTGGCGTGGTGTTGTTCTCACGGGTGCGTGATCGTTTCACTGCATGGACAGAAAAATATAAAAAAAAAGGAAAGAACATCCAAAAAGAGTGAGCAGTCATTGGAAACTAGAACCATCACCACACCCATAACTTTTATTTCCATGTCCATCACCGTTGTGTACGTCGTGGGGAATTAAAACAATGAACTGTACTCATTAATTATTATTTTCCCATGAATGATATTGAACAAGTGCAATAGCTTCTCTCTTCTCTTTCATATCTACCTGAAGCTTTTGAATAAAATTCAACTGAAATAGATCCATCACCTCGGGAATGAGATTCGTTTACATCGGGATTAAAAGTTATTACAAGCACTGGAGGATGTAATACCCAGTCGTGAGATCGGATTTGAAATAGAGGTGGGTCTTCTCCTGGGTGGAATGAATAATTCTGTTGGTGTATACGCGGGGAAAAGATACGATGGAATCAGGAAAACGGATCGAACTGTAAGCACGTCGATGGGGGATTTAGGAATCCGTTCTGCTGCGCGAAAGAATTTTACTCCCACTATTTTCCATCGTCTTTTTTTCAATCCTTTTTTTTTTTCAACACGTATAGTTCCTCCACGTCAATCGCATATAAATTCACGCGCACCGGGGAATTGAAATTCAAGAATTATACTGGCGTCTCTAAAATATGAAAATAATCCCACCGTATATAGCCAAGTAGATGTTAAATGAATCACGCGGTCGTTCGTTAATAAATAAAATTTTTATTACACCCAGTGTTAAAATTTAATTTTCAATTAGAGACTCAGACGCCTCGTAATTGACCATTATCACGATCGTTGTGGAGCATTTACCTCCAGTACGACTGGAAGACATCTAGTCTCTAGACTCTAGTCCCACCACTCTTTTAACTCTAGACCTCCTGGTGTCCCATAACACCGACACGGAATAGGAATCGTCCCTTGCACCCTCGCGTGACGACAGTCAGTGAATCAAAAAGTTAAAGCTACCCACCACCGACATATATTTTCTTTTTCCGCCCTATCTTCTTTACTTTCTTTTTCCCCCGCGTTCCTTTCCCATGGTTTTTTTTTTCACTTGGGGTTTTACTTCATTCAGGGAGTTTTGTGCGGTATTGCTCGAGATATAAAACCGGAAGTGGCCCCAGGGTGAGCCCGTTTCCGGCTGCGATCAGGGAGAAAAATTTCGATTTTTTTTTCAGTGGTACTCTAATTTTTTTTTTTTTTCGAGGGAGAATTCTTTCTCTGGAGTTGGGTTAATTAGAATTTCTCGGGGTTCTTTATTTTTTTCTTCGCAAGAGAAACATTTGAAAGAATTATTCTTGCCGGGAGTTTGTTTTGATGGGGAGAAACAGCTGATTCTTTTTTTTTTAAGGAGCCGAAGGGGGGAGGGGACTGAGAGGGATGTGGATAGCCAGGTGAATTCCAGATTTCAAACGCCATTCACAAGCCCATGTTGCCTCGATAATTCTCCGGGTAGAAGTTTTTTCACAGTGGAGATGATTTTTTTTTTTTTTTTTCGTTAATTATCGCACGGTGTAATGAAGCAAAATGGGGGCCTTTGTTGGGTTTTTGAAGCGGAAATTTTACGGGCTATCCATTGGAGCGTATCTCATTAGCCTATCAGTAATTACATCGATAATAATGATATTTATCTAGGTTGAAGAAAAAAATGCGCGATTGATTCAGAATTTTTTCCGGTGATATTAATTCGAGTTGACGAGTACAACGGTATGAAATGAAAGAGAAAATGAAACTGAGACTGAGTAAAGGGTGCGATAAAATGTGCAAAGAGAAATTGTACTTTTTTTTTTGTCAACGGTTTTGCACCTGTCCCACGACTTTTTTCTCATCTCATCCCTTGATCCGGTGATATTCACCAGGAAATGATGAAAATAATGGAAAATTGACGAGCTAGTGGGACAGGATGGCGTGCAGGGTGCGGGGATCGCACTTACAAGACTTACGATCGGCGTGTCTCGTTCGTTTTCTCTCCCTCGGTGTTGTTCTCGTCGCCGGTGACTTCGTTGCAGTTTTCACGAGGGACTCGAGTAACTCGTCATCACCATCTGTCACGTTGCCGTTAGTCGACTCGTCCCTCAGGATTGGACCCAGTGCTGTACGTCCTGGGAAAATGAAAATATTTGCCTTCAATAGGGGATAGAAGATAAAAAGCCTCGTGGGGTGTAATTACAATTTTTTGTACCCCCTCCGTCTTTCCCCCAAATGAAAACTCTCCTGGAAACATATTTCCAGTGGAAAATGAGTTTTCAACGAGAGCAAATTAAAAAAAAAACTGTTTGCTCCCTTGATAACGAAATACTCCACTTGAAACATTTGCAAAAGAATTTTTGATACGTTTTATTTTCTCAGGGGATGCAATCAAAAATGTTTTAACAGGAATAATCGAGATGCAATGCTTTCTATTTTCAAATTTGAGTGCATACTTGTAGAGAAAAATTTATATCTGTTATTTAAAGTTTTGTGAATCTCTGTCGCATCTGGACTGCAGGTAAGACTTATTGAGTTGTAAAAAAAAGGGACTCTTTTCCGGCCGTGGCAAGGATTTTTATCTCTGAATTGAGAAAACTCTGGGTGAACTGCTAAAGCCCCTGTCTCAATTTTCCCACCCTTTATTCTCACCCCCATCTCTCTGTCCTGGTTTTCTTTTTTTTTCTCTCTCTCCCTCTCTCTCTCTCTCTCTCACTTCTAGTGGCACTCGTAAACTTTTCCCCGTGTTATGTATCTATTCTAGCATCCCAACGTGCAATAACTTGTATCCTTTTATTTCAGTGTACATCTCCCCAGTGTGTCTGGTAAGAAAACGTAAACCACTGGAGCTCACGCGTATCACCAAAGCTCGTCCTCCTTATTTTGTTGCCCTCTGGTTCATGTTACTCGTTTCATGCCGAGTTACAACGATTTTTCTCCTCGAGCTTGTTTTCCCTCTCCACTTAGTTCAATTGAATGACAAATTCAACAATTTTACGATGAATTCCCCACGGGAATTCAATAGGTGTAAAACATTTTTACATCTCTCGGTGACTTTATGGTCTCTCGGTGGTTGAAAATATATTTTTACCATTAAATAAAACTTTGAATACTCAAGCATATCGAATGGACGCACCATTACTCTGGGCTATCAATGATTTCCAGTTTTACCGATTTGGAGAATAATAAAATTTTCATATCCAGAAATTTTCTCGGGCTTAATTCAACGGCCATTTAAATCCCACCGAGCTTTTAGTTATTAATTATCACTGGCTATTCAATAGTTCGTACGGTTATTACTATTTGACGATTTACCATCGCGTAGTTTCTATTCTTGATGTCAACCACTTATTTATTTACATTTCCACCTTGTTTCATCCAAAATATTCACGAATTTCCTACCGCACAAGTTGCACAACAACCGCAGCATTCACCAAATGTCGTGTTGCCCTACATGTTTATAACATTGAGCGCCCCGAAAATTGTGAGGCACGAAATTCACGAGACAAGACCAGAATGTCACTAAATGAGAAACTAAGAGTTGAGGAGTCCACGTAATGGTACACTGTTAACCTCGCAATGACAATTTCTAGTTACGTGTTCGAGGATAAAACGATTCTCTCAACGAGCTACACGTGACTCTGAATTTTATCCACTCTAATGACAACTTGACTGCTTGATTGCCAATTCACAGATAAATCTTTAATCTGCAAACCCTTTTTCACGAATCATTAATCCTATCACTTTTCACTATTACTCAGAGCAATAATCATTGTAATAATCATTGTAGAAATATGACAAACTAAAATATTGATATTAATGAAGTAATGATACTGTTTAAAATATTTTAAAATGTTCTGAGATGTTCAATTGTGGTGTATTATTAGAAATTTGAAATTTTATTCCGTGGGATATATTGATGTAATATTTTAGCGAATAGTGGGGCAGTAGGCTAATTAATTCGACACGTCGTCCTGCTACGAAGAATTTTCTCTTTTCAATTTCACTTTGAAGTGAAAAAAAAAATCTCAAACACGAACGGAAAAGAGCATCAAAAGAAGGTAAAGAATATCCTTCACTCACCATCTTTTCTCTGCCTTCGCCAGGGTAAAGTGCCATGTAGACTCTCAACGTCAGAAATATCGCTGCCCAAAAGCTGTCTGAGTTCAGCGTCTGCTCGATCCTCTTTCGTTCTGAATTTACCCACCTTTGGAAAGACAAAAGAAATTCAAGTACTTGGTGAAGAGAAAAACTTGTGGAAATAAGAATATAAAGTCTTTGCCAAAGGGAAGGGCAAAGAAGACCAATCGACTGTGTACGAAAGGAAACAAGAGGGTAAAAAAAATATTATGAAAGGAAGAAACTCGACTCACCTCAGTTATCATTTTCCCTCTGGTTTTATTCCTCTCCCGGTGATTCGCTTTCTTCTCCAGCTGCTGAATGACACGCTCCCGGGTCGTTCTGTATTCCAGGGCAAACTCTGACACTATTCTGCAGAACTCATTTGGCTTTGTGTCCTGGACACGGTGGAGGGGAATTCCCAGCCACAGAATAAACTTGTGAAATCTATTGATGATACGTCGATGCACTATGCTGAGGACTATTATTCTTTCCGCACAATCCGCCAGAAAATCCGACATTCTGTAAATTATTTTTCATATACACTGTTGAGAGATTGCACTAGATATTTCGTGTAAAAATATTATATTTAGACGTTAGGAACTTTTTTTGAAGACGTGAGTTTACAGTCCGAGGCGAAATCGACGAATGTAACGACAAAGTCACAGAAATTTTCTGTAGAATTATTCATTCACCAATTAATTTTTACGAATATTTTTCTCATTCTCTATTTTTAATTATTATTGAATATAAAAATTCCCATGACTTTGTGACTAAAATTTGGAGAAATTTTGAATAATGTATTCCCATCATTCTATTTCTGATTAGTTCACGAATTGATCCTCGCGCAATCGAAGGAATCAATATCACCGAGGAAAAAACGTAAAAGAGGACGAAAAAAAGAGAATCGAAGACTAAGAGAGGAAAAAAAGTAGTCCAATATCTGTGGGTAAAGAAGAGAGTAGAAATAGAAGAAAAGAAATAGGAAAAGAGCTTCAAGTAATTAATGGCAAGTCGCTTGGACGTTAGCCAACTTCCGAAAGAGAGAGAGAGAGAGAAAAAAAAATACACGAATTTATCGGTAACCCAAAGGCCCCCCGGGCCCCCAGACGATTCGCAGGACTTTTGGCACTCAAAGAAAAACAATAAACCGACGGGAGAAAATGAAAGAAAAAATCTAACTAGGCTATTGATATTAATCAGACTGATGACAAATAAACTCACTTGACTTTCATCATCGTCGATCCATCGTGTTTAGCAATGAGTTTCAGGTGATCCCACGATGCCTTGCACTCGCTCTCCAGTTTGAAAATGTTTGATGCTAACTCGTCAAAGTCGATCTTTGATGCTCTAGTTACTGCTCCTATCTGCAGCGAGATAAGCCAACGAAGGGATAAATAAAAAACAGATGAAGAAAAATGAAGAAAATAAAAGTATTCTCTCTCTGTAGGGAGAACTTGATTTACTTTTTTATGGTGCACTCACCTCGGAATAGAGGTCTGTTGAGTCTGGAAACTTCTCCATCACCATGTGACAGAGATGATGGAGGAGTGAGTGCTTATGCACAGTGTCCTTGACTTCAGGTACTTTGGCTAGGTATTCGAGTTGAAAGCCCTTTACCTGTGAAAGTGGAGATGAAGAAAAAAAAAATATATATATATAAAATGCTAAATGAGCCATGAATTGAATGGTTTTTTCTCTTTTATATTTTTTTATGTTTGACGAAGGGAGTAGCTATGGCCGAGACGAGAGCTTCGTGAGGAAAATTGTAACATCAGATTGAGGGAGAAATATCAACGCGCTATTACTTTGATTTTAAAATGTTGAACATTTATACTCGTAAAATGGCGTTGAAAGCACTCGCTGTATGATCCACATATAAAGTGTCGAGTGGATTAAAACGGATATCATTTTCACTAGGATTCAATGGTCTCACCTCATTTCCGTTTAAGAATATCCCGATTGATAGGAGCGTGCTCAGAATACCCCGAAACGTTTTATTCAGTCTCAGAGTTTCCATTCCTTGCTTGAGATCCATCAAAGGGTCCGCAATTTCCTGTGTTCACCAAAAAAAGAGAAAAATCAAATAAAATAGCCTTCGGGTTATTATTATTATGTTTTTTTTTTTCATATTTCCATTCACTCGCCTTCGACTTTTTCACCACCCAATATTCCACCCCTAAAATTCATCCCCGACTGTTGCCAATTCAACTTTATGTACACCCTCCCGGCTGATTTGACTATTACTTTTCGTGAGCTCAAGCTATTTCTATACCAACTCCATCGACTCTCCTCTTTACTCACCTTCTCCGAGTTCTCGAAGTCTAGTTTGAACGCCCAGAGCTTCAATCTCGCCGGCAGCTCGGATATGGAAGCTAGAGTGAGTAGAAACTGCTCAGCCGAACCAAGTGGAAGATCAGGACTGGCGGCCTGCGCCTCTTGGATCCTCGATCGTTCCTCCTCCGTTGGTAGCATCGTTAAAAGTTTCTATAAGCCACAACACACAAAAACATTATTAAAAACATCAATAAATAAAAATTATTATCTATCTGACGTTTCGATATGAAACATAAAATTTAATTGATGACTTGACAATTTATAAAAAGATATTCATTAATTGATGTGAATTGTGCAATGGAGTCGATTTAACTTAATCCCGTAGTTCAGATAATACCCTGAACTTGTACTCAGGTGATTTTCTATCTCCAATTTCACATGAACTTGAGATTTCATTCAACATTTTCGGGAAAATAGCTGCTACGAAAAACGGTTTTCTCTGGAGCATCCCCTTTCCAGAGTATCTCGAGGATCTTCTTGAGTGAAAAAAAAAAACTTCTTTATGTGCCATCCCAGATCGGAAATTCCCTTGGCTTTCCAATGCCACCATTTTCAATTCTACCCGGATCCTTATCCCCATGACATTTTTAAAAGTAAGCACCTAAGAATCAACACGAGAAATCATCTTTTTTTTTTCTAATAAAAACTTGATAAATTCAAATTTCAACTCACCTCAATTCCCTCTCGATTCATTATTGTTGCATCCATCTTGAGAATAGCTGTTTTTATGGATCTCGGTGGTGGTAACTTGGTCATACCGATGTTGATAGCATTCGATCTCTTGTGGTCCAGAACTATTATCTCTTTGTTCTTGTTCATCTCCTGTTGTTTCTGTTATTTATTTATCGAGAACAGAGAGACGATTATTTGCATCGTTTAATAGATAACTTGTGCGCTGAATATTTTTGTACAGCTTGGCTATCAATCCAGTTGGCAATTAATGAATATAGGGGGGCA